GCTACCAACTCTTGCAATATTTTGCAACTCTTGTCTTTTTAAATATGAGAACCTAACTTAAACAATTTGCAGTTTCTGACTGCAGCGAAGTTTGATTATGTGAACCTAAAAGCTCAAATCAGAAAGCAAGTAAAAAGAATCCCAAACTATTCTTAAAATTATTTCATGGGGGGTGATTTAAAGCTGTCTTATGACTTTCTGGGACCCAACTCATTTGCTTTTGGCAATACTGTAAACACCTAGTTTTGGCTTTACCCAGATTTCCTCTGTTTTTGACAAGAGTAGGAGCAGCTGAGATATAATGTAAGCCCTTCACTATGAAGTAAAGTGAAGAACCCTTCCAAGCAGGAATCACCATAGAAATGTGATTCTTAGCCAAGGTGATGCAGCAACCTGAGGTCCCTTATGGTCCTTTTATTTGTATGTATATTTATGTCTTGTTTTAGATTTATATCCTACACTATCCTTTTAAAGATGCCATGAAATATTAGCACTGTAAACACCTACACATGATTCATTCACAGGATAAACACAGATTTAAAATAGGAATACATAATGTCAAAAACATTCTGACCTATTGGCTTTTCTGAGTTTTTGGTAACAGAAGAATTCCTCCATTATTTTTCCTTAGTTGGGGAAAATTAAAAGCTGGCATTTTCCAAGGGATGTCTTGAGTCTAGTGTCTAAAAAGGTTGAGAACCACTGCCATAGCACACCCCCTGGTGCATGTTCTGTACATTAGGGGTTGTACATAAGATTCCCAAGTTTCTGTAATGCTTTTAATAAGTGGGCTGTTTGTGAATGTAGTATGTGAAAACTACTGTAGATGATCAACTTTGTTATAATTTGCTGTAGTTCAGCTGGCAAGAGTATAGTGTGAATCCATTACTGGAGACTCAGGCTAGGTTTACACTACAACTATTCATTAGCATAAATTGGTCTGGTAAGGATATGAAAGAATCAGAAGGCCTGGCTGATGCAGATATGCTAGCTTAACTGTAACAGCAGAGGCTCTAGTCTAGACAGTAGATAAGTCCTCCAACTGATGATTTTATTTTTGGCATCTGAACAGAACTTTTTCTATTTTTCTAACTCCTTAGCATTTAAATGTAGAGACATTTCTGTCATGGCCCCGGGCAGCTGCCCAGTTTGCCCATGCCTGTGTCTGGCCCTGATGTAGTCTGGATGAACCACAACAGTGATTTCTAGATTGGAATGTTACAAGTGATAAATGGAGATGTAAAATCCACTATGTCCAAAATAACATTAAAAAATTTTAAACTACTGCCTCTTATTACATATCTACAAAGTCCCGTCCCCCCTGAGAATATGCTCACAAATTACCCTCAGGCTGCCAAGAAACAACGCTGCAATTAGAATCAGATTATCAACTGGCATAAATCAGCACAGTCCTAAGGGAGCTGACGACTTACCACTTCAGGATCTGGTATTACGAATTACTTAGAAATCTTGTGATAGAGGCGATATCTTTTATTAGACCAATTAGATATGTTTTTTGCAACTGTCTTTAATTGCAAACTTTCAGGCTCTGACACTCTTCCTCAGGCAGAGGAGAATGCAAAGAATGTAGAATTTCTCCCAGGTAGAAACAAAGCTTCATATTGCGCAGGTGAACTGGAGGTTGGTATAAATTCTTGGTGAAAAAGTTCATTTTATGCAAATTAGGCTTGGATAAAAGTTTCATAGTTTTATAGTTTCTAGGGTCGGAAGGG